TTAACTGTTTGTTCTAAACAGACGCTAATATTGTAAGAAAGGGCGAAACGCAGACTTGCTGTTGGTCAGAATTGTTTGTATATGTAAGCTGATCGAAATACAGAGATTTTAGCTTTTGGCACGGATTGTATTAATACCGGAGAGATCTTGTAAATATAAGTATCAAGATAAAATATAGTACGTCCAGCGTAAAGGGTCATCAAACTTCAATGACCATAAATACAAAATGACAAATGAGTTTAATAGCGTGTGGACTTTACCACTGGAGGGTGTCAAATTAACGATCATCTCAATAGAAAATGAAATGAAATGAAATGGGGTTTAACGTCCTACTGTTCTGCTCCTATACTGGGCTAATGAAGACGGGCATACGCCATACAGTAGTCTATGAGGGAAATTTTGCCCGGGCAACGGCACTATCGCCTACTCTTATATCCATTTCCCTCCGTCCTGCATCACTGACAAGAGGAAACCACGTCTCAATGGAGAAGTGGTATCCGATGTTACAACAACTTTCACAAGCTTAATATAAGTGAAATGGGGTTTAATGTCCTACTTTTCTATACGAACGGGGGATAATGAAGACGGGGATACACAACACAGTGGGAATTATGCTACGGTCTACTCTTTATTTCGAATTCAGACTGTCAAAGTTTCTTTTACGTGCACGCCAATGTGTACATGGGACCTCGGGTTTTCGTCCCATCCAAGCTACTAGTCCTGTACTACTTACAAGGGGCAATCACGCCGGAAAATATCCCGAAGAACTTTCTGGTCTACGGGGAGTGAACCCGAGTCCGCCATGTTAACCACCCAGCTTTTTACTCACAGAGCCACTTCGGCTTCGGCTTCAGCTGCTATAGAAGTAACCTCGCATATATGAATATAATTATCAATTTGCAATACGAAACGCATGATATATAACTGTCATTACGTGTGATTTAGTAAACAGAGAATATACTTTGCTTTGTGCAAGACACTTTGTGATGTAAACAGAGGGCAATAAACTTTTGTGAAGCTACCTCGGATATGTGTGAAGTCTTATCTAATTTACATGTGAAGTATTTCGTTATTATGTAAAGCAACAGAACGTAATAAACTAGTTTGTGAAGCTATCGTAAATATGTGTAAAGTCATGTCCCCGGGGATCTGACGGATGATTTACCTAAAGTCGACCATTAATCAGTATCGACTATTACTATAGACCATAGACGCCATCTTTATTACAACAGCACCGTTATTTTATTGTTTTATCTCTGCCTTTAGGCAACAGAACACTTGTGGTAATTATCCTTCGTTAGAAACGAAATATCCATTTTCTTCTGATAAATGTAGACATTCTGGTGTTAAAAGGTCATCAGAGCGAATACAGATATACATAATCGACTGGACATAGACCGACGATGTTATCTGGTATCTGGTCAAATTGTACAGTGAAGCTGAAACAATTATGCAGCATTACATATTATATATTTATATCCTGTGTTTTGTGTTATGTAAACATTCTCGATGGGGCTCCGCAGTTCATTATGTATTCCCTGTTTCTATATACAATCTTGTGAATAATTATATATGACAGAGTGTCGTGTGGGAAATAAAAGAATGCTACGATATCCAGTTGATATTGTCTGTATGTAATGGAACTGTTTATGTGAAATGAAATGGGGTTTAACGTCCTACTTTTCTGCTCGAACTGGGCTAATGAAGTCGGGCATACGCCATACAGTGTGCTGTGAGTGAAATTTTGCCCGGACATTGGCGTTACACCTACTCTTATACATGGAATTCCAACTGCTAAGGGATTTTTTACGTGCATGCAAATGTGTACACGGGACCTCGATTTTAAATCCCATCCGAATGACTAGACAGCTGTCAAGATCAATGGACGAATTCTATTTTTTATCATGCCGGCTATGAAAGTAACACGTGCGTTTAGTTTTAGTTGAGAGGTAAAACTGTTAGTGTTAACAAGGATACAGTGAATATTTATTGAGTCATGTTAAAACAGCTGTTGATCTCGTCAATAACAGATGTAAATATCACTTCTACATTCTCTATATACAATCTACATAAAATACACTTCTATTAATGTCTAATAAAACATAACATTATGTAAGAGCTAAATCTGTTTATTGCCTGAAATGTTGTCTAAACTATTAATTAGACATTTATAAAAAAAAACAAGACCATAATCAACTCTCGATAGCATCGGATACTCGAGATTTTAACTAGATTAGAGCGGTTCGCCATTTAAAAATTTAATTCAAAAATGGTAAAGCGAGGCCAAGTCTCGCATATACCAGTGCCCTGATTACCACTATGCACAAATCTTGTCAAAAATACAAACAGTGATAACATGTTAACATGGCTTAGAATGCAGTAATATATTTATTTTACATTATCTATTTTTGAGCTATTATAGCAAGAATGTTTAGCTCTTTATCTAAATCTTATATAAAATACATTTAAATCTCGTTTTCTCATTCAATAATTAGTGAAAGAAAACGGCATTATAAACAAACTTTCCTCTCCCATCCAAAAGATTAATCACACTTTCCGGCGGTCTGTCCCACAGCCGCCATCTCTGAAACGTGAGGGAGGTTGGATGCCTAAATGGCTAGCACGTGCGCGCTGTATCATAAGGTCTGTCATTGAGTCAACTGGCGGGGTTTCGATTCCCCGGTTGTACGTGACAAGGAGTAGGGTCGCCTGTCCAAACTCTTGGATTTTCTCCGGGTCCTCCGGTTTCCTCCCATAGCTGAAGGACCCCTACGCGCAAGCTAATTATTGAAATAAAATTAAACCATATGACCTAATTTGTGTCGTATGGACCCCAAACTCTTCTAAATTTTCTTTTTCCTAAATTTGGAACAAACCTTTATGGGAAACTGAATGGGGTCAAAATTATTCTCTCTCTCTCTCTCTCTCTCTCTCTCTCTCTCTCTGGTTGGGCGTCAATTTTACAGCACCCCTGAGAACACTACCCGGCCCCCCTCGTTGCTCTGAGCTAGTTACGGACCTACATCCACCCCACCCCCTCCTCTTTCTTCTCATAGTCTGGTGACTCTAGTCTCTACTCTACTCTCTCTCTCTCTCTCTCTCTTTCTCTCTCTCTCTCTCTCTCTCAATACAACCACATCACTGCCTTCAGTTTAAAATATGGTGGATTCTATGTGTCGATACAACTGGACTGTGTTATATTTGTTAGCCATGTTTGACCATAAACACGATGGTTACCTTGTTTAAACCCTCAACCAATATTTACAGGTGCAGAGTGCATTCTTTCCTACTTCAACAATCAACCATTGTTGTCTGTAGTCATTAACTCAAACAGCTATATCTTACAAATGGTTTATAAATGTGGATAACTGAAATGAAATGGGATGTAACGTCCTACTGTTCTGCTTCAACTGGGCTAATGAATACGGGCTTACGCCACACAGTGTGCTATGAGGGAAATTTTGCCCGAGCACCAGCACTGCCGCCTGCTTTTATTACGAATTCCGACTGTCAAATGATATTATTTTCGTACACGGTTTTTCGTCTCATCCGAACGAATATATGTTGTCCCATGCCAGACCCCCGCCCTGCACCAATGACAAGGCGGAACCACCCCGGAAAATCCCGATGAATTTTCTCGGTCAACACAGTGATGGAACATGGGACCTCCAGGTTATCGAGACAGCGTCTTACTCACTGAGCCACCGCGGCCGCACTGTCTAACATCAAGTAGACACAACACGAAGCATGAGGAAACTGATCTAAACCTTTAAGCCTTTTTAGAGCCTCTCTCTCTCTCTCTCTCTCTCTCTCTCTCTCTCATTAATGTGAACAACATATATGAATTTATAAACAATCAGATGATAAATGTAGTCTGTAGGGTAATATACGACCACATTATTTCTCCAACTGGTAAAGACTCATTGGCGCAATCTAATTAGGGAAATGTAATAAAATCTCTCTCTCTCTCTCTCTCTCTCTCTCTCTGCTTGGGCTGAGATAACATTGTGTATTATATTTTATATTCGGGTCCATATATGAACCACGAATTATCACTGACACCATGATTTTTCAAAATGCTCCCCCATTTAACCAAATATCGTGCGTCCGCCATTGAGTATTTCTGCAATATATTATATACATATCCTAGAACGTGTCTTGATAGGAACTAATAGACTAATATCTGTAGGCTATGTAACTATAGAGACTTGAGTTTCAGACAATCTGTGATATTGGGGTGAAACTATTCACTGATGGTTATTTCAAATCATTTCTCTACAACCGTCTTTGATTGACATTTAGTAATTGGACATATTAAAGGAAATGAAATGAAATGGGGTTTAACGTCCTACTGTTCTGCTCCTATACTTGGCAGGCCCTCCGTTCTGCACCACTGAACTTTCTCGGCCAATGCAGGGATCGAACACCCGACCTCCAGCGTCTTAACCAACTAGCCACCGTGGCTCCCTGTGGATACACAATTACTGAGTTTAATACTAAGCGATGTTTCGACGAGGGTAGTCTCGTCTTTATCAAGTAAATGATACAAATATGTGAATAGTAGACAGTATTAAACTCAGTAATTGTGTACCCATAAAATTGTACATTGTGTTCATTTCTACAATATTCGAGTCCGTGGGGTTTTATTCAGGAAGACGTACACCAATACATAACTAAGGATAGTATCAGACAATCGTCTTGAAATATTTGGAAGGAAACTGTTCGTCTCTAAACTATATAATATCTACATATGTCTAGTCGTTCGGATGGGACGAAAAAACCGAGGTCTCGTACACATTGGCGTGCACGTAAAAGATTCCTTGACAGTCGGAATTCAATATAAGAGTAGGCCGTAGTGCCGCTGTCCGGGCAAAATTCCCCTCATAGTACATTGTATGGCGTATGTCCGTCTTCATTAGACATTCGGAGCAGAACAGTAGAACGTTAAACTCCATTTCATTTCATTTCATTTCAAGAAGCCAAAATAACGTGTTACCTACCTAATGTAGTAGATCCTGACTGCCCCATCTTGATACTGTTTAAATCCTAAATCCAAGAAATTAACCACAAACACAGAGTTGATAATCCACTAGAGAACTTTTATTTTGTAGAACGCATTAAATAAAACGCCCGGTTTATTGCACGTTTACTTCTGTTCCACATGTAGATCCCTTCACCTATATCCACACATAACACATCAGGTTGAGAACGGCATGGCGGATGGGTTTTATGTCGAGACTAAGAAACCCATGTGCTAATGATAACGTCTATCTAAGACTGGATAGAAGAAAGAATCACGCATATATAAGATTTGCTGAAGGATGAGATGAAGTAGCTATAAATAGCAGCAGTAAGTAATATGGTTATGGCATCAGTAATATATTATGCTGGTGAGAGATGCCTTATTATACTATCCACTCGTGTGTGGAATCTCCATTAACTGTTCATAAAGAATACACAGAAATCTGGCTTCAATAGTGAGTTGAACTTATTTATGGTGGGTTCTCTGATCTTATGGATTATTAATGTGAATTAATTTAATTAAAGGATCCTATCCAAAGGAACATAAACAATTAATATGAATGCCATATGTCAACAATTCGATGATAAAGAACAGTACTGTGGAGGGTATAATTAGATAGTCTTTATAAATCCGTGTGATTAACGATTCCTTGCGTCAACTGAGGAGATATCGTAATTTGGTTGATATTTAGACTAGCTGTCGTATAGTACGTTGAATATTATATATCCCCAGGAAATCATATCGTAAACACATCACTATGGTTACCGGATGTCTTTCACTGAAAAAAAAAACAAAAAAAAACATATTTCAATTATTTTTTATGCACAGAAGATAGAAACAGAAATAATGGAAAAATTTCTAGCTGAGATGATGGTTATTGGTGAGCTTGAGTCCATTATCTCATTTTAAATGATTTCAAATGAAATGGGGTTTAACGTCCTCTTGTTCTGCTTCAAACGGGATAACGAAAACGAGCAATATGCACGAGGAAAATGTTTACCGGACAGCGATCTAGAATCTTACCATATTCCAACTGTCTAGGGTTTTTTTACATGCACGCCACGTATACACTAGGTTCAGGTGTTTCATAAGACTCAAAGGACTAGACAAGATAAATTGTCTCAAAATTAATTGGGTCTAAATTAGAAGATATATGACTTCATGATTAATAAGGTCATCTACAAAATCTCAATTAAAGATATATTACTCCAAGCACAATAGGGTCATTTGTTCGACCTTCTACACTGTTTTATCTTCAGGGAACAAATCAACTTGCGAGAATAAGTTAATAATTACAGATTGTCAACTACCGAATCTTGTGTTTCCTATCTTGGCACACGCATTACTCACACGTCACCAAAATGTCGGTCCATTCATCATCTAGTGGAATTAATACACAATGGCGGCTACGTAAAAAATTGTAATTTTGTTACAAATAAAACAGTTGTACCGGTTGTATTTCCACGCTTGTACGCGTCTCTCTCTCTCTCTCTCTCTCTCTCTCCAATCGATTGTTATATTCCACTAATGTCGGCTAAAGGATATCTGACTTTATATCCTGCCTGAAGACCGAGTCAGATGTAACTGACTCGAGGAGGTAGAGTGACAATAAAATATGATTTAACACATGTTTATACTCTAAAACGTGTTTGATTTCCTTGAATAACCGAGTTTCGTGTCAATTTCAATTAAAGATTACAAGAATAGTATTTGATGGATGTCAATCACGATATCAATTTTACAAGATTTCCATTACAATAAAATCTTCAGAGGAAACATGTTTAGTAGATGAGTAATAATTTTCAATATGTCCCTCCTACTCGATTAAAGGCAAGGAGGACGACACCATAAACAATTACACAAGCACCCTATTATGCACAGACATTTCAAGAGAGAGAGAGAGAGAGAGAGAGAGAGATAGAGAGAGAGAGAGAAGCTAGGTCATTTCGGGATTAATACATGGTTAAAGTTTATTCCAATAAGTCGCTTACGCGTAGGGGTCTTAAGCAGTGGGGGAAACCGGAGGACCCGGAGAAAACCAACGAGGGTGGACAGACGAGCCTACTCCTTGTCACAGACAGAGAAAGAGAGAGAGAGAGAGACTAGACTATGGGAGGCTAGACTATGGAAGGCCAGTTTGTACGTATTAATATATCAACAATAAATTCCAGTCTACCTTCGTCTAATAAATAATTGTAAATATCATAATATACTGTTGGGAATGAATATACGAGAATTTGTTATTCTGTGGAGATCTGACATTTACACATTATGACTTGGATATTTCAGATTATTTGAACATAGTAATATATTCCATATGATGCCAGTTTTACCGGGTTGTCCGCTGGGATTAACTTGTAACTTGGTTTCTTTTTGTTACTGTTTACACAAATATATCAATATACATACTCGAATAGTTTGAGAGAGAGAGAGAGAGAGACCGAGAGAGTTTACCGTCCACTCGACACAAACTAGGTCATTTCGGAACTAAAATATGGTTCAATTTTATTTCAATAATTCGCTTGCGCGTAGAGGAAACCGAAGCAGCCGGAGAAAACCCAAGAGGTTGGACAGGCGACCCTTATCCTTGGCACGTACAACCGGGGAATCAAAACAGACCTTATGATGCTACGCGTATGCGCTAACCATTCGGCCATCCGCCCCACCCCACCCCCGGATAGTTTGTCAAGATTAGTCATTATCAATTAGTCGATGGCAAGTAAACAAATAGAATTTGGTCAATACAGACGGACCGACCGACCGACAGGGGTGGCGGCTACATTTCATAGTTGGCGTATAAAAAAATCTAGGCTGGACGGAGAGCCTGGTGGTACAGGGTGTTGTCAAATCTTTCTGATGGAAATAAAAAATACTGGAATTCGAAATAAGAGTTGGTCGTATCACCGCTGTCCGGGCAAAATGTCCCCATAGCACATTGTATGGTGTATTAGGTATTAGCCCGGTTACAAGTTGCAGACACGTGGTGGGGCGGGGGGGGGGGGTGGATGGCTGAATGGTTAGCGTGCGCGCGTTGTATCATAAAGTCTGTCATTGAGTCGACTTGCGTGGTTTCGAATCCCCGGTTGTACGTGGCAAGAAGTAGGGTCGCCTGTCCAACCTCGTGGGTTTTCTCCGGGTGCTTTGGTTTCCTCCAACTGCTAAAGACCCCTACGCGCAAGCGAATTAAGGAAATAAAATTAACCATATGTTAGTCCCGAAATGACCTAGTTTGTGTTGAGTGGACGTTAAACCCCATTTCTCTCTCTCTCTCTTTCCCCCCACTGCTAAAGATCCCTACGCTCAAGCGAATTATGTAAATAAAATTAAACCATTTGTTAGTCCCGAAATGACCTAGTTTGTGTCGAGTGGACGTAAACCCCATTTCTCTCTCTCTCTCTCTCAGACACGTGGGATGTTAAAGCCCATTTCAAATTTGCTTCCGTGTACCGTGGTTGTCCATCTCCATTAACCGGGTAAAAGAATCCATGACAAATTGGAATTTGAAATAAGAGAATCGGGCGTACCGCCGCTGCCCTGGCTAAATTTCCCTTATGGCGTATTTCCGTCTCTTTTATCCCGTTTTTGCAGAAACGTGGAAGGTTAAACCCCAATTTGTTTCACTTCGTTTCGTTGTCGTCACCATTTTTAATGTCGACATCTACATGTAGGTTAATCACGTAATAAATGTCAACATTTAAAATAACATTTAAAATATAAATCTTATGTTTAACATTTAAATATATCAACAGATCTACTCGTTCATAAATGTGAAGTTTCAAGTCCCGATGCGCCATTGGCATTTTTAGCTAAAATATCAAATTTCTCACGCCTTAATCCATGCTAATACTGTACGTACTCAGATTGATAATTTTTTAAACATTAAACATACATTATTCAAGAGTTAAATCTGCCTATTGCAGGTCTTTCTTTGGTCGTTAAATCTTATATAAACTATTAATCAGCCATTTATTAACAAAATAAGACCATAATCAACTCTCGATGCCTCCGATTTTCAATAGTTTTGAATCAGATCTGCTTTTCCATGGATAATCAAGACTTTGTTTATTAGCCTAACAATGGAGGGTACAGTGTTATGCAATATTCAGCATATTCCCTTTACATTATCTATGTTTTAACCATTATAGCGAGAACTGTCAGCTCTTTATCTGACCTTCCATAATGCTCCTTTAGCTATTAAATTAAGAAGACAAGCGAGTCTATGGTACTAAAATGACGCATCGGGACTTTACCGTCTTACGTTTTGAAGAGGAAAATTTGATCCTGACACGGGCGCCACAGTCTACACTGGATCACAGATTCTCAACTGCCAGGGTATCTTTAACAGTAAACACTGGATCACAGATTCAACTGCCAGGGGATCTTTAACAGTAAACACTGGATCGCAGATTCAACTGCCAGGGGATCCTTTACAGTAGACACTGGATCACAGATTCAACTGTCAGGGGATCTTTAACGGTAAACACTGGATCACAGATTCAACTGCCAGGGGATCTTTAACAGTAAACACTGGATCACAGATTCAACTGTCAGGGGATCCTAACAGTAAACACTGGATCACAGATTCAACTGTCAGGGGATCTTTAACGGTAAACACTGGATCACAGATTCAACTGCCAGGGGATCCTTAACAGTAAACACTGGATCACAGATTCAACTGCCAGGGATCCTTAACAGTAAACACTGGATCACAGATTCAACTGCCAGGGGATCCTTAAAGGTAAACATTGGATCGCGGTTTTCGCCCCATTCTAACGACTAGATGTTTTTCTCTCTAGGACCTCCATACAGGTTTCAGGATCCCGAGGATCTTTCTTGGCGAACGACGGGATCGCCTGATTTGCCAGGGGATCTTTAACGTTAAACATTGGATCGCGGTTTTCGTCTCATTCTAACGACTAGATTTGAAGGATCTCGGGGATCTTTCTTGGCCAACGGCAGGATTTGAATCGGGATCTATTGATTATTGAACCTGATTCTCACCGAAGTACCGCAACTCCGGTCTCAAACAGCTCACAAATCTTATAACCTCACCTCATTATATATAAACACTATGAAATACATCGAACATTTTACCTGTGTTACCGTGGTATCCAAACCTAACAACAATCATCCATAAACATTTAACAAACCTATCTGTCTAAACTTCAAATAAATCATAATTCACAAACAAAAATAATTTCTCAGACATGCGCAGATTATTGTAATATCGCAGTGTCATCACGAAACATTTCCTTACGAGAATAGAGAAGAGACCGAAGACAACCTTTCCGTCTTCCCCCTAGTTAATCCGTAGGAAATGGTGTGAAATTGATAAATTAGGACGATAATCCCTTTCTTTCATCAAATCACTAGAGGATATAGTTTTTAATATTTCCTTCTTACAAAAGGATAATTACCTCAAAATGTCGTCCTTTTTCCATTTGATCTTTAATAAAAGAGAGAGAGAAATAGGGTTTAACGTGCACTCGACACAAACTAGGTCAACTGGGGGGGGGGTCTTTAGCAGTGGGAGGAAACCGGGGGACCCAAAGGAAACCTACCAGGTTGGACAGGCGACCCTACTCTTTGTCATGTACAACCGGGGAATCAAAACCCCAATAGTTGACTCAGTGACAGACCTTATGATACAACGCGCACGCGCTATCCGATCTTTAATAAAACGTAAATTTATAACATATAATTAGTAAAATCAAATTCCTTATCATGGTTTCAATTGTTTGCATTAAGAAAATGATATAATAATATGTTATTCAATTG